TCTCTCGCTCTCTCTCTCTTAACTCGCAACTGACAAATAGAAAAGTTTACAAATGCATTTTAACTGCCGAGACACACAGGGGTTCGATTCAATCTGAAGTTACGAGTAGTAGTTGGAGTTAGCCAACGTTCCTGATTGAATGTTAAACATTTAATTTAAACTTGTCCACAGGCAGTCCAAAACCAAAACCCCAACACCAACCCCAACCCAACCCAAGGAGCCCACAGAGCAAGACCAGATTCGAATTGAGATTCGGATTTGAGACGTAATTTATGCACGCACATCAATTCAAATGCATCTAATTTGGTAAACAGATCGAGGAGATGCAGGGGCTGATTTGAAGGAGACGGATGTGCACTGGGCGAAAAAATATGGCAAATCTTTACTCAAATCCTAATCTAAAGTTTCAATTTTGTACCAAAATTCTTTCTTTATTCAAACAAAAAGGAATTCAAATCTATAATATCTAAAAATATTATAAAATATATAAATATAAAAAGGTTTTAGTAAAACTTTCAACTTTATATAATAGCCAAAAATATTTAGAATTTTCTCATATTTTTTTCTTTCAGTGCATGACAAAGTCTCAGTCACACCTGCCTGCCACTCGACAGACAATCGGCTTAAAATAGTTTTCATTTGTTTTTCGGCGGCGAGTGCAACATGTGGCATTGGCAACGCCACTAAGTAGCCCCAGTCTGCATCATCAGCATCTGTTTAGGGATGCACATCACCCCTCCTTCTCTCAGTCCCTTACCACATCCATTTCTAGTCTAGTACATAGTTCGTCTCGCCTGGCTTGCCTTCCGTACATGCAGCTCATTTAGTTGACATTTATTAACGTCACATAGCGCGCAATGTTTGACAATTAATTAGGCACTCTCTCAGAATGCCGAAAGACGGCTCCTGCTTGCTCCAGCTTCTCAGATAGATGTACAAATATGCAGATACAGATACGAATGCCTAAGTAGATACACAGATGAAGATACCCTAGCACATGGCCAACTTGAACTTGATTTTCAATTTATTTCTAGTTTTGTTTTGGCTCTAAAATTAGATCGGATTTAATTTATAAGTGTTAGTTTTCCACTTCAGATGTGAAGGGAATAATCAAATGATTTTTATATCAAAAGAGATTTGTTTTTGAAAGTATTTTTAATCAAAATTTAATAGAAAAACTAAGCTTCTTCTAATGTAAATAATTTCTTGATTATGTTGATAAATATATCTTTGTTTAGTTTTGATATTAATTTCCATTAATCCCAACCGCAAGCCACCTGAAAACTCTCATTATGGCAATCCACCTCAGGGCGAATAATTTTAATCTGCTAATTCAACAATCATTCAATTTTAAACCCCCTCAAGAGAGGCCACTTGAGTTCCTCTCTTCCCCATTTCTCTTTTTTTTTATTTTGGCCCTGCTCCCAAGGAATGCAAACGAACTGGCCCGAATCACAGCAATTTTCAAAGTAAACACACAGAAATTTTTTCCTTTAGAGCCAGCCAGGCGGAGTGAGAAAAAGCGAACTTTTATTTATAAAACACTCGAAACGAGAAAAAATGTCCAAACTGTATTTCGGGCATATTGACGGAAGGATTTCCCAGGCCGTCAAAGATGGGGGATTGCCAAAAAAAAAATAAAAAAACCAAAAAGAAGAAAAACTCTGGAAAGCAATGCAATGTGAAGAGATCAAACAGAGTCGACTGAAAGTCCTACGTTTTTGGGCAAAAGTTTGTTTTGCTTTTATTATTTCCTCTTTTCTTTTTTTTTTTTTGGCAAATGTCACATGAAAAATGCGTTTGCTGTTTGCCAAAAATGCCGGCACTTTGCATGGCTCACCCGCACTCTCGGAAAATCAGTCCGAAAAGCTCTACCCCCGAGGCCATGCTATTCTTTCGTTGAGCCAAAAGGATGGATGGTGGATGGGTGTTGGTCGTCTTGCACGAAATTTCCATTTAATGTGTTTGCCCAAAGTATTAAAAGGCAATCGACGATTGAGTATCGGAAAGAAGTAAAGCAAAGTTGCCAACGAAACTCTGGGGTGTCCATGAACATAACGCTGGAGTTGCAGTCTTCACTCCACACACGAAGAAAAAATTTTAACTTAACTGAGAAAAGTTAACCTATAATTTTCCACATCATTTCTCTATTTTCTAGGCCCAGTTTGGTACACCTTAATAAATCCTAAATAAATTCCAAACTTATATAATATTTTTTCTCACTGCAAAGGCGAGACTCCCCGACTGACTGCTGAGTGATTGCCATGATAAGTGGCCCATTATGATGCCAGTTTGCACAGCGAGATTGCTCTGCGCTCCATTGGAGTTCTTCATGGCTATAGCATCGACCATCTACCATCGACCATCGCCCATCGACCAACACCCTCGCCTTCGATTCGCCTTTAATGCATATCAGAGTGGGCAAACTTTTGGCCAAAAAGTGCGTCATTGTCCGTTCGTTTTTCGTTGTCTTTTGGCCAGATCCCGCTCCAACGACCACCATCCTTCAGTTCCAGCGTTCCTTTTGCAATGTCTGTTGACAAAAGACATTTAATTTTCCTCCAGCCATGCCCCCGCCTGTCGCCTTTCCTCCTCAGAGTGCGTTGGGCAGGAGTATCTGTTTCTGGGGCTATGCAATAAAGTTAGTCGTCGTCGTTGTCATCGTTGGCGTCGTGGTTTCTTTTCAGTTCTTTTTCGAATGGCTTTCGCCGCGTCTTTCCTTTGCTCCATTTTTGGTCTCCGCCGGCTAGCGAAAACTTTGATAAGTGAAATTTATTGTGGGTGCTTTGTGTGTCCACTATGATGGCTACAGAGAGAGAAAATAGTTGAATTTAAATATATAAGTTACTAGGATGGGTGACCAAGAGTTTTCAGTTTTAACAGATCAGAATTCGAAAGGCAAGTTTCTAGAAACAAACTGATAAGCCTTCATTCAAACTGATAAGACTTCTTAAGCTTAACAAGCACCTTAGCTTAATCTTTTGCCTCAATTTGATTTTAGAAAATCTACCTAAACATATTTTCTTCCAGTGCTTAGCCACTGGAGACAGCAGAATGTCCAACTGATGGCGCTCTTAATGTTTTACGGCATTCAGTTGATGTTTATTATTTGCTGCATAAATCAGCGAAACAATAACTGCAGGGGCGATCCTCTTTAGCGATCTGTTTTTAGCGATCCAATAGCACTACCAGCATTCCTCAACCCACCATGACCAACGGCCTAGCATCCTGTATAGCAATTTAAATAGCCTCGAGAAGTGCCAGCATCAACCCCCCTCAATGGCAAACTCATTAATTTACGTAAAATCCACTTAACTTCTTTCCCGTACGCAATAAATTCCACAACTTTGCGCCTCATCAAACGGAATGAATGCTGAAATTTAGCACGCGACAAAGTCAGACAATAGAATAGATAGAAATCTACATGAAGTAGACGCTGCGACGCCGTTGAAATTTCGGAACATGTGGTGTTATGATGAGGATTGGGACCTTTAAACCACTGAGCCACCGAAACCACCACCCATCCAGCAGCTAGCAACCCCAGAAGCTGGAAAATCACCCCAAATCCTTGGACTTCGGTAGCTTCAGTACTGGAAAAAAGGGTGCATTGATATGCGTAAGCGAAGCGATTTTTCCAGCCTGCTTTAGTGGGGGAATTCCCCCGGAAGACCGGAAGAATTACGTGCCGGCAGACCCAAACTCATGCCAATGCATTGCCATCATTTCAGGCAATTGTCAAACAAAACGCCGGTGGGTGGTGGTGGGTGGATAAATTAGATTTTTACTTGCGCACAATTGCATAAAGCCCACCAGGCCAAAAGCCCGACAATGTAATCCTCAGAGGACCTCGTCGTAAATATTCATTGCATACGGTCGGGCGTTTGAGCTTAAAGTTCTATCACTCACCTCGAGTCCCCCCATTCGCTCCATACAAAAGCCCAACACTCCCCTTAACTTTTCGTTTCGTCTTTTTTTTTTTCAAGGTCTTTGCCAAATTTTGGGGCGGCAGCAAATTCATTTACAAAACCACCCACCCAATGTCCTTGGCGTGTGCTCCCCTCGGTAACTTGGGGGTTGGCCATATCCGGCAAGGGTGTCGAACTATAAATTGTACCTTTTGTTGCAGTTTTTGCTTGAATATCTTGAAGATTTGGGCGAAGGGATCTCTGGGGGGCGGGCAACCCTCGACGTGCGATGTCTTTAATAAATGTTTTGGATGTTTCGTTGCGAGATTAAGTGGATTCCGTTTATGGCATGAGTAATGATGGATGCATAATGCGCACGTATGTGACAGGTGCGGGGAATGGGGAACTCTCTAGTGGCTGCGGTTCAGCCGAATAAATAAAGCTTGGCAAGATGGTTTCTGTATCCTTAGATGTGAAAATTCATTCATTAATACATATATTTTTTGTATAGAAATTAAAGTTTAATCATAATATGTAATAGTATAAAACTCACTACTGGTTAGCTTTTTTCGTTTATGTCTTTTATTCTCACAACCGCCGTTCGCCGTTCTTGAGAGTCAAAATCCAAGTCTCTTTTCTATTCTTGTTCATCCCTCTGCTCGCTTGTCCGTGAGCGAGACGGGCGTACATACAAAAAGATCTCTTAAAGCTAACTTACATGAAGAAAGAGAAAACAATATATATGGATAATATTTACAGTTAAGTTGTTTCTTGAATTTATTTTACAGTGGGTCTTATGCCTATACGTTATGTTAAAAGGCACAGTGGGCTTTAATATTACTTGTCCACCCACAAATATTAAAATCAAAAATAAATTTAAAATAAGAAATTGAGATAATTTGATGAAAACTTTTCCCGTAATATTAATAAGTAAATATTCTTTAAATTCGTAGAATGATTTATTTTATGCGAAGTTCCTAGTTTAGTGAACGGAAACAAAATTCTAACTTAGCTGTTAATTCACATTTAACGCTATAAATATTTTAAGTATAAGTATAAAATTTTCCACTTTAAATAATCAGTTGCTTAATGAACATGGAAGTTTACACCACTGTGTTAAATTACCCATTTTTAAAAATCGTTGCCTTACCCCTGTGGATCCTACTAGTGCTTCTACTCCTGCACTTAGATCTGAGCCACTGGAATGGACTAATGGGATCTATTTCCCATCCCGGATTGGGTGAAAACGGAACAGGCTCCTACTTAAGTGTGCCATCCTCAGAAATCGTCGCTTATACGCAGGGTTGGCAGCGTTATGGATACAATGCTTGGCTAGCAGAGAGAATTTCACTTTTTCGATCATTGCCAGACTTAAGAGATCCCCGATGTGAAAAGTTCAAATACTATGATGATCCTGATGTAATGAAACCAGCCAGCATTGTTTTAATATTTCGAAATGAACAACTTATGGTTTTACTAAGGACATTACACAGTTTGGTGGTCAGGACTCCAAGTCATCTCTATGTGGAACTCATTCTAGTGAACGACCACAGTGACATGGACTTTTGGAAGGAAAAACTATCTGTTTTCTTGTTTGAAACCTATGTCCTCAGGTATATACATTCAAAGGCAAGAATAATACACCTTAACAAAAAAGTGGGCTTAATCAAAGCTCGCAATTTTGCTGCCAATTTAGCCAAAGGAGAAAACCTCGTTTTCGTAGATGCACAAGTTGAGTTCACCGAAGGCTGGTTGGTCCCATTACTGGAGACAATTTCGGAGCAAAGTCTTACTCTGGCCACACCCATTTTGGATAAACTTGATGAACAGAATTTGGCTTACCATCGATCTGAAGAGAGACTTGGAATTTATGATTGGAGTTTGAGGCGAAGGGAAGTTCCTCTAACAAAAGATGGAAGATATCAGCTACCAAGACCTTATGGAGTGGCTGCTGTAAGGACTTCTGTGTTTGCCATTCGAACACTTTGGTTTCAGGACCTTTCCAATTTCGATACAGAACTCCAGGGTTTTGGTGGTGCGGAACTAGAACTCAGCTTTAAAGTCTGGCGAAGTGGTGGACGTATAGTTCAAGTTCCCTGCTCCAGAGTTGGCCACCTGCAGCCCACGGATCAGGACTACTTAAGGCGATATGGTGACCTCTATAAAATAAGCAAAAAAGTAACAAAGGTAGGAGACTAATGATAACTAATAATTTTCCTAACAAACTATTTTTCAGAACCTCAAACGCATTGTGGAACTTTGGATAGACGATCCTATTTTAAAATCGACTATATATCGATACCAGCCCCATCTTATAAATATTTCAGTGGGCGATCTGCGTGAATCTCGAAAGTTATACCAACAATACGACTGCCAATCCTTCAAGTCGTTTATAAATGATGTTATGCCGGAACTCTGGCTGATGAAACCTTTAAATCGAACGGATTTTGCGATGGGAAATGTAAGACCTCTGGAGCATCCCCAAATTTGTCTTACAGTTAGTGCAGAAAGTAAGTTTGTCGTTTTGGAACCCTGTAAGGCAAACAATACTCTTCAAAACTGGACACTAAGCTACCTTAATGATCTGCGAGTGGTTGGAAATATTTGTGCTGAAGTGCAATCCAATCTGCAGTTGGGTTACAACTTTTGCCATAATCTTGGAGGAAGACAGAGTTTACACTTTGATGAAGTTACCAATCAGCTGGTAAGCAACACCAAGTGTCTCGAATTCGGAAGTAAAGTGAATATTTTTATGGGTTTTTGCAATGCAAAGAACAAAAAACAAAAATGGATTTTGGATAATATTAATCTCAGTGTTATGCAAAACGGAACGTAATTTAGGTTAGATTGTGTATTTTATTAAAGAAATTATAAATAAGGATTGGTATCTTAAAAGTTCTTTTGGAAGATACATATCAGATTTATAAGTTCTTAAGCTTAGGATTCGATTTTCAGGGAGAGACCTATGAAAATTCCTGTATCTTAGCTTTAAGTATAGGACTTTTTGTTAGGAATTACATTCAAAGATTATATAAACTATGTTACTAACAAATTTAGTTCACATTTAAACAAGCATCTGCCGAATGGCCCAACTTTGAATCCCTTACTCCGGTGAATAGCCAACGTTGTACATTGGTATCCGATTTACAAGTCCCTAAAATGAGAGCCACACCATCGACATCAATTTGCAGACATTTGTTTCCATGGATAACGAATGACTTTTTGTCGTAATCGTATTTCCACGGATGTTTCGGTACTTTTTTAGTGCACTTCGTTAGCTTAACATTATTGTCAGAGTCGGCACTCAGACATATTTGACCGAATCTCAATTGACAGCGATGCGTCAGTGTCCAGTCTTCGTATTTAGTTGAATTGCACATCCTCATGACTGGATAGCCACCCTTGATCGATAGGCAATAATGTGGCGCCAGAAGAGGCATTATTTTACCAACAGCATAGTCGGCAAGTCCGGCATGAAGGTAATAGTTTCTTAATTCGGGCGCCACTTGGCTTCTATACCAACCAAAGGACTTGCATTTGAGACGACGTCGAAGATCTTGCGGTTCATCTAGGGATTCGGTTGTAAGGTTTCTCAGCCTGGGATTATAACGATAAAAATGGAGCCTGAATTCGTCAAACCAGACATCCACAACTCGCTTGAAGTTCTAAAAAATAAACGAAGAAATTCAGAACCTCCTTTTTTTTTGTGTTTTCCCACTTCTTAAAACCTTCACCTACCTTCCTCACTTGCAAGCTCGGATTCTTATTGGGAGCCTTCTGGGCCTCTACCTCGTCTCGTTTATAGATGATTCCAACTCGTGAACAGGGAACTGTAAGAATGCTACCACCACATTGCCACACTTTCAGACTGAGTTCCAAAGCATCTCCTCCATTTTCCAGCAGACCTTCATCCCATCCGCCCAGACGCCAAAACCAACGGCGATCTATTGCAAAAACCCTTCCCTCCAGTTGAGAGGATGCATATGGTTTGGGAAGATTATGTGATGTGTTCCGATCCAAGGCTATGTAGATGTGTTCCAACTGCCAATCGAAGGCCATTTGCTCTGGTTTTTGCAATTTCTGATAGCCAAACGTTCTTCTAGAAATCTCATCCATTATAGGCTCAGTGACGGTGTTTTTGTTCAACAAGATGGGTTCCAGTAAAGGAGGCAGCCAGCCCATGGTGACCTCCATGTGAGCATTGAGAAATACCAAAATATCTCCAGTTGCTACTTTAGCTCCAGTTAAACGGGCATTAATAGGTCCCTTTACAGTTCCCACTTCCAGCTGTATGACTATGGGAAAGTGGAAAGCTATGTAATTGAAAACATCTATATCGGCCAGACCATCATGAACCAGTATTATCTCCGTGATTAGGTGATATGATGTTTGTGCTTTAAGACTGTAAATGGTCCTTAATAGGGTGTGAGGATGCTCCATTAGATTGGCTATGATAATGCTAGTCGTTACACTTTTCTGGGGATTATAGCTGATGTTGAGGCATCTGTTTTAAGGGAACTCTTTCATTAAAAGATTATATATCTTGGATTTTAAGTTACTTACTGCGAATCCCTATAATCTCCTAGACTTCTGTTAAGCGGAATTCTTTCAGATATCCAAGCATTATAATTATATCTACCGTACTGTTCTTCAGTATCTATTAAATCTTGTTTAGTCATCTCCAAATGGGCATCTTTTCCCTGATCACCCAGATTTTGTATCGTATAGTACTCAAAATCAACTATGGCATTTGATAGGTTATCCGTATACATAATCCAAATAAAAATGGTGGCTATACAGTATACTAAAGCGAAGATTGTACAGCTACAGGGTGTACCACAGAGTAATGCTTTCATTCTGATCATTTTAAAGACTGAAAGTATAGCTCTTAAAATGCTTTAAGTTTCCTTGTTAATTTGGTGAAACTAATTTATTGGATATGGTACTAAAAAGGTGCAACTAGTTGGGGGATTCATAAAACTTGGCATGCATTAATATTATAAAATAACATTAACTATTTAGCTAATCATAAATATCCATCTTGCTATAGTTTAGAAATTGTTGTAGTTACATTTTTATAGTTTAAGATATAGTATAAGGCCTTTAAAAATATATTTCTGATTAACTTATTAAATTCTTTAAGTGCTCTTAAGCTAATCTTAACCCCATACCAATAACCATCGAAATTAACATAGACCCGCCCCTGATCTGTCCATTGAGCCACCGAATCGAAAACTTTCTCAGCGTATAAGATGGGATTATTGGCGTAGAAGACCGCTCTCGTCACACTCTCAGCTGGCCATGCTTCAGTCTTGGCCAAAACGCTGCGCGGTTTATGCCGAAAGTTTATTTTCCGTTCCGGAGGGCTGTGTTTGTTTCTGTGATACGATGTGCCTGGATATTTTGAGGCACAAGAAGAAGGTGTTGCTGCTGCTACTGCTGATGGCCATCGGCAGTATTGTTTACTATCTTTATACCCTGAAATTGGAGCGGGAGCGTGATGGATTTGTAACGGTGACTACTTCACGTTTGGAGCATGAAGTTAAAGAATTGCAGGCGGTTTTCGAGTCAGAGGTCATTCCAGGTCTGGGAGCTTTGGGACGACCGGCGAGGGGCAATTGGACTCAAGAGCAATTGGAGGCCATCGCAACGAGCCAGCGGGAAACGGGTTACAACGCTTGGCTCTCCAAACGCATCTCACCTGAGCGAACGCTCTACGACATGCGGCATCGCAGGTGAGTGGAAAGAGAAAGAGCTTTCAGAGATTGAAGACCGTCTATCGGTGGGAGTATAAGAGTGGGAACCAGTGAGAGAGAATCAGTTTCTTTAAAGTAAATTTAAGGGGAAAATTATCCAAGCAAACTAAATATTTATTAGAATTAAAATTAAGAACTTTTCTTTAATTGAACTTTAAAATAATTTCATAATTAAGCTTTCAAAATCGCTGGTTCAGCATCTCTGGCAAAATTATAAGACTCTCAAACTTATACGATCTTTCGACAGCTGTAAAAAGCTCGAGTACCCGCTGGAAAAGCTCCCCTCGGTCAGTGCGGTGATAACGTATCACAATGAGGAGGCGAGCGTGCTGCTGCGAACGCTGAGCAGCCTTAGGAGCCGGACTCCGATTATGCTGCTCAGGGAGATAATCCTGGTGGACGATGGCAGTACCGTGGTGAACGAAACGCTCAATGACTTCCTTAAGATCAAGTTCCTGAACATGGTTAAGCACAGCAGGATTACCACTCAAGTTGGCTTGATGCATGCTAGAGTGGTGGGTGCTGAAATGGCCCTGGCTGATGTGCTAGTGTTTCTGGACTCCCATGTGGAGGTCACCAAAGGATGGCTGGAGCCACTTCTTGATCCCATGATGAGAAACAACAGAACTTGCACTACTCCCATAATAGACACCATTGACTTTGATAACTTTGCTTATAGAAGAGGAAAGCCATCGCGAGGCTTCTTCAATTGGCAATTTAATTATATACAATTACCACTCCTCAAAGAGGAGGCAGTGGCCATGCCAGCTCCCCACCAAAATCCCATTATGAACGGAGGCCTTTTCGCAATTGGCCGGGAATGGTTCTTCGAACTCGGTGGCTATGACAAGGGACTAAAGATCTGGGGAGCCGAGCAAATCGAACTAAGCCTGAAGCTGTGGTTGTGCGGAGGACAGATTCTGGAGGTTCCCTGCTCAAGGATTGGTCATCTCTACAGAGATGGAAACTTCAAAATTCGCTATACGGACAAGAATTCAAATAGTGAGAAGAAAATCATTTCAAGGGTAGGTAAAAAATGTAATTTTCAAGTCTTTGAAATATTTAAACACAAAGTAAAAAGTTTCCTAAGAATCTATAATCTTATAATCTAAAATACCTTTCAGAACTACCGACGAGTGGCTGAGGTTTGGTTGGATGAATTCAAGGACAAGTTGTTTGCCAACTTGCCACATTTGACTGTGATTTCCGCGGGAAATCTTGCCGAGCAACGAGAGCTCAAGAAACGACTTCACTGCAAACCGTTCCAGTGGTTCTTGGATAATCTTGCACAGGACTTTCTGCATCTGTATCCCATAATAGACCCCGGAGAATACGCCTCCGGAGTGATACAAAGCGTATCTTCACCGAAACTCTGTTTGGATCGCTCAGATACCCAAAAGCGTCGCCCCAAGCTATCTCCATGTAGTTCAGATCAGGTTTTTCCGCAACCAGAGCAGCATTGGATCCTAACCAGCCGCCGGGAATTGCGTTCCGGAAATCTTTGCCTGGAAGTGCGCAACCAAGGATTGGAAGTTCATTTATATGAATGCCATGGCCAGAGTGGTAACCAGTTCTGGTCGTACGACTCCAAGACTCGCCAGGTGATCTCTGGCCAGATGTCAAACTCCAGAAATTGTTTGGAAGCCCAGCCGGATACGAATGGCCTTACCTCAAGGGCCTGTGATCCCAAGAACACCAAACAAAAATGGAAATTGGGTTACCAAAACGACGAAAAATTGCTACACTTTTGGGACAATGTCAAGACGAAGTAATGGTATCCTGGGAAATTTAATTGTATTCCAACTTGCCATGAATATTTTTTTTATCTATAATTAGGTTTAAGTTTTAAAGCAGAAATGCTTAAATTTCTTTTTACGCCACAGCATTTAGTTACACAAATGCAAGAAAGCTTGCATATATTTAGTGATGCTCTTGTGTTGGTTTGCAGCTGTGCACTGAGAGAAAGAAAAACACATTCTTTTTGTTTACAAATTCATCCCTCATTTCAACACTCACGTCGAAGGTCCACTGCGAAATAAACTCCAAAGTGGAAGCAGAAGTAATAGGGAATGATTTCCAGTGCAAGTGTTCGAGGATGATCAAGGAAGAAAGAAGAACAGTTAGCGAAGGAATGAGGATGAGAGAGGAAAACAAAAAGGCGAGCGCTGAAAGCTTAAGGGAGAGCAAGCCTATATGAAGAGAGGATTTACAAAAACAAATAAGCACTCAGAGCATAGCCTTTGAGCACCCCTGTTTTAAAGTCTAACAAGTCCCGTTACCTAATTCTTAGGCTCCGTTAAAACTGAAGTTAAAATTGTATAAATCTTTTCTGAATTTATTTTATTTAAAAATAAGATCAGTCTTAAGAAAGTTGCTTATTTCGTAAATTATCATTAAACTCGTATACATTTTCCAATCCCATATCGTCATTTTCCGAATCAAAATTAAATTGCGAACCAAAAATTCGAGTTCTATATACAAAATAGTAAAAGTCATAAATATTATATATGTTTGTAAGATGAAAGCATATCAATCGCAAAGAAACTGGCAAGCTTAGCTAAAAAACAATCGAATTAATTAAGAAAAAGATTATAATTAAACCTAAAATCAACTCACATTTATCACTGGTTCATATGAATGTTTCAGAAAACGTTCATGCTCCTCTATGGATTCATTTAGTTTACCTCCCAAATGCACTTCTGCTTCAAAGGGCAGGAATCGATGGCCTTGGAACTCATCTCGACTATCACCAGCTATCACATTGATATTGGTAAGACAGCGGCCCAGTTCCTCGGTGGCATCATTACCTTTTTCCTCGGAGCTGCAGATGCTCTCGTTGGTCAGGGCTGTGAGGACAAACCGTTTGAGAGCTGCTCCGCTTAAGACTATTCCTGAACCTGGAAACATGTAGGCCTAGAAGTTTTTAAGAAATTAAAGGAAAATAAAAATTTTGTTCTTAAGAAATGAACTTACCAAGCCATTGGGTGTCCGCAGCTTGCAGCCAAAATAGATCAGCTCATTGGGACTGTAGGACTTTAACATGTGCCGAAGATTTTCCACCACTACAAAACTTTAAGAACTACTCGTAAATAATAATACTAAGAAGATCATAAGTTTAAGAATAAACTTACTTATCATCATTGGCAAGGAGGAACCAGTCACCCTGATGGAAGTGATACTTGTAGACATACTCCAGATAGGCCCTCAGCTCGTGCCATCTGCCGTGTAGATTCATAAATACCGCCGGTTCCAAATAGGGATGACTATTATCGCTGACGAAAAGATAGTGATCACAGTGTTTGACCCAAGTCCGGTGGACATGAATGGCGCAGTGGTCATGGCGATAGGCATAAGCAATAACTATGCAGAAAATTCGAGGTGGCGGTGCAGTTGAAACCTCAACTTCTTGTGGTTCAACGTCCCCTTGCAGTTGCAGTATCAACATAAAAGATATAGTGCCCAGAAGTAGAAGATAGATGGCATTGCAAAGGGTTAACCTATTCTTTCCGCACAGGAAGAAACGCCGTGTACTGAACAGTCGAGGCATATTGAAACTATTACTGGAATCGTTGATTCAGGTGGTGGAATTATTGGCACTGTTGGGTGGTCTCCGTCGACAATTTAATTATATTGAGTGCTTTTGTCTGTCTGCGATGCAAAGGTTTCCCTTTTGCTCGCCGCATACAAATTGCCTTTTTCAATTAGAATTATTAACCCACCTGACGACTGCCGGGCATCGAAGACGTTTCGCCATCGCCTTCCATTGATGATAATGGCTTTCAAGTTGATGCAAAACTTTGCAGTTGAAAGTTGCCGAGCAATAAGAGTGGTTGTGGAAGTTCCGGTAAGGGTTTGGTCAGTTCATAAAATGTTTCTGACAAACTACAAAAATTTAAAGTGAAGTATCGATTACTTGTCACCGCCACCACAACTGGCAATCTTGTTTCTCTTAACCATTTCTTTTGGGCCATGTTATGACACTTTTCATGGAACCCGAACCCACAACTTTTCGATACGATACAAACACGTTTTCAGATTTGCATAGATATACCAACTCGTATCTATTTTTGGGCCTCACAAAAATAACAAATAACTGTCACAGATATAAACAAAAAAAGATTATTCAATCGCCTGTCTCAAATGTTGCAAAAACAAAAGACCCCCGAAAATGTTTGTATAGATTTCAATAATCACACTTGTGAGCGAGCAACAAACTATATGTTTGGATTTCATGTGAAACTGTCAGAGAGATACAAAAAACAAAAAGAAAGGAACCTGTGAGAGAGAGTGGTAAGCGAATGTCGGCTTATGTGGGATATTAATGTCTCAGTTTACGTGCTCAAGTTACCAGATGAATTTTGTGTGGCATCTAACAGGTAAACAAAGGCCTCATCCACACATGATTAAGGTTACAGGAAGCAGGGAAAAGTGCAATGTTGCATTGATATTTCCTTTCCCTCAGACATGATGTAACAATGACACTTTTGCAGTTGGGCAGAAACAGAAAAAAAAACCAACAAAAATCGAAGAAAAACGGAAGTAATTTTGCACAGACAAAGGGGCAATGGGAAAATGAGACGTAGACTGAGACTCCAGACCAGACGACAGATTCATTGATGAACACGTTTAACCTCCCCCTTTTTCCCATATGCGAAAATGAATTATGTGATGGAGTGCAAGTACATGAGATATGTGGGTTACTTTTACGTTTTACTAGGAAGTAACCAGGACCCTCTCCTCTTTATGTAATTGAAATATCAGGAAGGAAATATCACTGACAGCTGCCTGAGGTGAGTCTGCTTTATTATGGCCTAAAATGTATAGAGTTTTGTAAGGGATTGCCAAAGATTCTCGATATATAAACAAAGTAATAGTAATCATACATTTCAGGGGGATATTCTACCCGAAAAGCTATGGCGCGTTGGGATATGGGAATGGTTTCCTAGAAAGATTTAAGGTAATATAAGAACTAATTAAGATATAAATACTAAAAAAAATTACCTCTGAAACCTTGTGATATGTCAGATTACGTAACCAAGGTATATGCTTATAGCCAGTCAAGAACTGATGATGCATTGTTACGGGCAAGAAGGTCTCATTACCAAGTTCATCCCTGCTCTCGACTATGGTTACATTACCATAGCTCATACATCGATGTATATCCAATCCTTCAGCATAACCCTTCCAGTGTTGGCATTCCTTATTCTCAGGATCCTTGGAACCAATCGTAAATCGTCTTACTGCCTCGCGACTCATAACATATCCACTGTCGTAATAAGCAAAAGGCTTAAAAAGGAATGTTAAAAATAAAAAAAATAATATAAAATATATAAAACTTACTTCATGCGTAACAGTATTCTCCAGTTCGTAACCAAAGTAGATCGGTTGACTGGGCAGATAATTCCTTCTCTCTATCATATACCGGAGATTCTCCACGACTACAAAGCTAAAAAAAAGAGGAAAACACATAAGCGTCAGTTGAAAAGATTTCCTTTGTGGCCAACTAATAATTCTCATTCTTCATTCACGTCGCAAAATCGTGCATATCAATAAAAATCCATCACTGATCTGCTGTGCATACAAAGCCAAGTGCAAATATTATATGTACGACGATGTTATAAGGCCAAATTGGTTGGTTTGCTGTGAGTCTATGGATTTGAATGGGCGTAGAGCGAAAGGCAAACAATTGCCATTTAGAAAAACCGTGTCAACAACATGGCCAGAGATCCGTTTTTCAATGAATCGTGGGCAACACGCAAAGCAAACAAAGTCCAAGTTCAAGCCGCAAATGAGCGACGCAAACAGCGTTGGCTAAAATCGACAACCAAAAAAAAAAACTTAAAACATAAACAAAATAAAATGTGAAAGAACCTAAACATTGGGTTTGCTTATTTGCCAAACAGCCAGTAATTGAAGATAAAGCCGATGAGGTAAGGTTCTATATACAGGGTGGCCCATGTAGCGTTTGCTTTTTGAACTATCCATAATTTTGACTTTGAATGTCCTTGTCAATGTGTGAGTTAGTTAGTAGATAGTTTGCAGTTTACGAAATGTTTTGAAGTTTACGCTAGAAGAAAATAAGGAATATTGATATTTTTATAGCGATTTTAAAACGCAAATCTTTCGTGGGCCACCCTAAACTTAGCTATAACCAAGATGTCAAGAACCTAACTAACAATGTTTCAATTTCCCATCAGACGAAGGCTGTCAATTAAATATGTTGATCAAACAGAAGACACTGTGCCTTCGAGTCGGTGCCAGCTAATAAAACTACCAACTTTAATGACTCTTACTAAAGACATAAACTTTTAATTGCCAGTCAACGACCACACAGAGTAACCGCTCAAGTCAAGTTATCAAGTCATTTCAAAGACGATTAAGCAGAGTATAAATATTCCAATTCCGATTTCAAATTCAATTGATTTTGTAATAGCATATTCAACGACTGGTGTTGACATCGCCACCAATAAATTCCCAATTATGTATGACGGCATAAATTAGAAAAAATCTCCTATTTCCAACGACATTACTCCGGCACACACTTAATTGACCCCCCCCCTGACACACGCATCTTTTTTCGAATATTAAAAAAAACTCTTGATATGGCCATCTAATCAATAACATTTATGACTGAACCATATAGAATATTCCGACATTTATATAGCCATTAACATTTGAGTGTAAACAGAAGTACATAGATTAATGGAATTGCATTTAGCAAAGTGCGCAAAAAAATCAAAAAAAAAAATAAATTGATAGCGCAAATTGCGAATATATTTAAACTAATTAATGCCAATGAAATGGAGTGACACATTGATACTTGTCTATAAATGTCTAATTTATAGTTTGTTTTTCATAAATTCGAAATGAATGGGGGAATACGCATTGCGATAGGATTGTTTGCTTTGAATAGAAATTCATTTGTCAAGTTATCAGCATAATCTAAGGCAAACTATGCTAATGGCATTCCCCACCGTGAATGAAAATCCATGGGAAAATTTTTCTGTATTCAACTTGGAACTCAAAATTTGTACCAATTATGGTGGAAACCTCCCTGGAGAGCAATCAAGCGACATATGCATTGAGAGGGGGAGAGGGTGGGGAACTGCATTGTGTTAGCCTACAAAAGACAGATAAACTACCGCCTATAGATACTCGCACTTCCTTGGCACATTTCTTCTCCCCTCCCCCCTCAGTTTCTTCTTCGATAAAGGAAACTCTCTCTCTCTCTCGCTGTGGGCCAAACCACAAAAGGAAGCCAAAGAAAAATCGATCTACAATGGAGTGAATAGAACGGAACCGAATGGAAAACGGGATGTGGACCTTAACGCAAACGGGAACATAACCAAACCCCAGCCCCAGCCGGAGAACTCAAACTCAAACACAAACTCAAATAATGCCGAAGGCTGACTGATAACTTTATCAATGAAAGAAGTCAAAATATGTTGAGTGAGGCGGCCACCGAACTCAGCGCTCATAAAAATAAACAACAAGAAGACGGGAATAAATAAGAAGGCAGAGAGAAAAATAATTCGATTATCTTAATTTTAGGAAATTCATTTTTTATTATCAGTATGTACATGGTTATGAAGGTGTTTTATCACCAATAATATTTGGTAACAAATATAAATGTATTTTTTTTTTTGTATTAACTTTGGTGTTAAAAAGGTTAATCAGTTTTATTATCTATAATTTAGAAATAATTATTTATTATCTGTAAAGGTGACAGTGACTAAAAGGTGATAAGTTATTCATTATAAATTGAGTTAAGGTAAAGAGAGATAATATATGTAATTATATAGCTTTTTTATGAGCTAAAAATCTGAAAGAATATTTGTAAAATTTAGAAAGATTTTATATTATTTTTATGTAATTTACTCAGACAGATTTTGGAAAACTAATAAGAAAGTTTGAGATGTAAAAATCTGCTTAAATTACTAGAAAATATCCTTTCCAATTATAGAAACTCAAATTTAACCTCACAGAATCTCTTTCAGTGTAGGAAAAAAACAGCAGTTTGATGTTTAGAATATCATAACAATATTCCGGCGATAAAATAGAACAACAAAGCGCGCTCTTCGGCAATTTATGACCAAGCCAAGCAATTCAAATTAAGTTATGATCTGATGAATAATATAATATGAGTTAGTTCTCTTACCTAGAGGGCTCAACTCTGAGAAACCAATCAACTTTATCAGCATAAAATGCATAGGCATGCATCAGCCCCTGCTGGACCAAAGTCCATTTATCCGTGGAATTGATCACAGGAACATAGGGTTCCAGCTCATCATCGACATCGCCACTTACAAACAGCAAGACATTGCAGTGTTTACCCCAAGTACGTTTCACATATTTGGGGGTTTTAGGAATTTGGTAATGATAGGGTATCAGGCAGAGTATCCTGATCTTATCGTACAAGGGATCCGAATTATGTTGGAGACTACTTTTAGCCCTTGATTTTTCCACTTCGTTAATATTAAAACATAAAGTAATAAAAACGAATAAAACTAAGCCAAAGAAGAGGGCGTAGTAGACACGTCTACGTGAAGTCATGACTACAAACTGAACTATAAATAATTTTTGGCTCTCATCGAAAGGAATATTCAATTTTAGATAAGACATATTATCAAACAGCAGATAGAAGTTAACCCTCTACATTTATGGGGGGTTCGATGTGCACTCATGCTTGGCAGTTTAAAAGCCACACGGAAGTCATCGTTTTAACCAGCTTTTGTTTATGGTTAAGTAGGAGTAGGAAGCTAGTTAGTTCCTATAATTAAACACTGATTAGTCTCTCTCTCTTTATTTTGTGCAAAAAAAAAAAATAATCTTGATTTTGTGGTCGTTTTAATTTCATTAAATAAAACTAAATTGGTGAATGGCCTGACGATTGCGTGTACATTTTTGAATAGTTAATTAAAATATTTATTCAGCCAGCAAAGTGTTAACTCGATTCGTTGGGCCAATTAAGCATAATTACACGATTCGTTGGGCCCCAGGGAGCAGCATTTTTGATAAGATTAGCCAGCTTTGATTGCATTTTAGTAATCCAATCAAAGGGTAGGGGAAACTTGTATGGTTTGTGGTAACCAAAATCAAGTAATCATGTAATCAGCCAACTCCCAGACTGACTAATCAATGTGATTTAACTAATACTAAGCACTAACATTACTCTTTAAGTGTAATCCCAAAAAAAAAGGGGGTTATAAAATGTAAATGGCTGTCCCCTTTGTCATCATAGAATTTTTAGTGCATTTCTGTTGAAGGCAGATGAGATCCAACAACCTGCTGCTTCGAATCTCGTAGAAGCCAAACAAACATTAAGTTACAAAATAAAATCTTTGGGCCATAAAATTAAACCGCAGCCAAATACGCAGAACAGACAAAGACGGGCCAAAAGAAAAACAAATTGTTTGGAGTGGAGGAAGGGGAAAACAGGCTAATCTCATGGCGCGAGCTTATCAGGAAAACAAACCTGCAGTAACCTACTTTATATGTATCCGTATCTCTGTATCTGTATCTGTATCTTTGTCTGCATCTCCATCTGCATCTGTAACCGCTGTGGCTGGCTGCTGCGAGCTCCCAATCCACACACAAATCCCTTTCCCACACGAAGAGAAAAAATGTTAAAGAAAAAAAGAAATTTAAAAAATGTTTTCTTAAAATTGAAAAGTTTTTAAATAAGACCTAAAGCCTAACTCAGTTTTAGATCAGTTTCGTAAGCAGCTTCCCTAGTTTTGCCTTAATTTTCCTCAGTGTACTTACAATCCCATTCCGAATCCCAAATCCAATCCGTTCCCCCCCACTGCTGCTGCACTTTGATGTTCCTCTGATGTCAGTGGCCAAGATAGGAACAGTTAGCGCATCGCAGTTAACTCGTTCGGCCTGAGTTTTCCTGTTGGGTTTTTATTTTATGATTTGGGTTCACTTCCACAGTATCTTGCAGAGCGGCGCCCATAACTTTTGGCTCTTTCAACTTTTATTTGCATTTTTATTTGTTTTTCTTTAAGTCAGGCTTCTCGGAACTTATTTTTATGTATAAAGAATTTAATTTTGCTTTTGTTCGGCCTGGCAATTGAGGTAAATATTTTATTTGAATTAAGCGTAAAAGTTCGAATCGACTGCACTTTTCTGCCCGACCAATCTGAAGTTTAGTAACTCGCATTCCTTGCTTTTGACCCAATCCTAAATTGCCTTTTCATGCAGTTCCCAGAGCCAAGCCCAGAATTGTTATTCTTTTTGTTTTTTCTTTATGGAATTTCAATCAGAAAATTCTTAAATTTTATTGAATGGCAAATTGATTTTCAAATAGATAGATTTGGTCAGCATCTGTTAAGATACAGCCTTGAAATTTATATCTTATTGTGGTCTGCCGCCAACCAGGCAAGCAGAATTCTAATACAAATTATTTATCTTTATAAAAAAAGCTCTTCATTTTTCAGCTAGACAAAGCTTTTACTACACTCTAGTATCTATATACATATATGGAAAACACTTTGAGCAAATATTTTTACAAGCGCCGCATTCTACGCTTGCCATTTACAAAGGTAAACACATCAAATTGCAAAATCTTTGCCTTGGCCGAGGAGAGGTTACTGCTTTTTATATATATTTATAACTTTTTTTTTTTGTTATTATTTCTTTTTAACTTTGTTTTGTTTTCAAACCTTTCATTCACCTTTGCGTTGAGCTGAGATCCGAGTAAACAAGGCAGCGTCAGTTGGAAATGTTTGCCCAAAGTCTAAAGGAAAAGATAAATACTTAGCGGGTTGGCGGTTTAACTCAGGGCCTTATACGAGAAAGCTGATCAGCTGACACGTGGGGCAAACAATTCGGAGGCAACACTGTATGGCTCTTAATAAGAATCTTGATAAAACATAAATAAACACATTTCATGGAGATCAGAAGATATAAAACTGAACAGCTGTAATCCCTGCTAATCAGCCTTGAAAACTTAAATAATTTTTGTATTAAATTTTAGGTTTTAGGTCAATGGGCTTAAATTAATATTTAAATATTGGCTCAATACAATTTACACAGCCATTGTAGTCGTGTTTTTTTTTTTCAATATTTATTTAACTCGAGGCCAAAATCGATGATAAATTTTTACAACCAATGCTGACCCCATAAAAATATTTATAAAAATATGTTCAAATTTGGTGACCATTTTCAAGCTTTTCAATGATAGAAATAACGGGCTTGCCAATTTTAATTTTCAGTTTTTGTTTTGCCTTCTTTTTTTTTTAGGTTTTTAGCCGCCTGCACAAAAAGTGGGTCAAATGTTGCGTATGACGTTGGCTTTTTAGCCAGCGGCTGGTTGGCCAACCGGTTTCGCTTTCAAACATCAACGGCGGCGATTCGTCTGAGTTGGGAGTTAGTCGCTGGCTATGGATATCTTCCCAGCTTCCATTTCCACTTCCACTTCCATGCTGAACATTTAACATCAGTTTGAGCCACGATTTTTGGCGCTTAATTCGTAAATTCATTCGGCCAAGACAAGACAACGTGTGTGCGCTGTGTGAAGGGGCACCCATAAACGTGGGCTAATGTGCATTTTATTAATAAATTGTCCGCTTCATTAGCTTTGGGGTTAGGCCCTCTGCCCCAGCAACCTGCAACTTTCACCATTCGATCGTCGAGATGCAACCACCGATGGATGGACTTTTAATAAATTGCCCTTTTCGGTTGCGCTTTCTCAGTCATAGCCCCGTTGCAACCGAAACCGAGATTTGCATTTCGAGCTAATTATGTTGTTTATGTTGTATAATATTTTGATTTGCCGTGTGCGATCTACACATGTTTTCCAGCCAGCAGCCGTTAAAACCGGCAATGCAAATGCAAATCAAATGAAAACTCAAAAAGAAAAATAGAAATAAAAATGTTTATAAACGACGGCAAGGTGAAAGCATAGACAGGCCTGGAATATTGGCAATTTTTGCTTTATAACCGATTGGGCCTTAACCCATTAGCCAGTGGGCAATTAGCATGGCTAACATAAAAACCGATACTAAAACTCATTAGCAACAATTTCAAGTATGCACTCGAACTATTTGCCTTATGCCCCGCCCCAGTGATGAAACTATATGGCCTGCTGTAATAAGTAGCTGACTGTTATATAAGCCAGAGAAGTGTTCTGCTAACTGGTTAAGCCAATACTTTTGGTTTTCTTTGTAGGGAAGCTTTTCGATTTTGGATATATAGAACGTGAGGGGATTACCTGAGCGGCTGGCCACGCGCTTATTGGAATTTTTGGAACCAAACACGACTAATAAGACAATTTGCACACATTGTGGCAAGTTGACAAATTGCTGTGCGTGTTTTTTTGTTTAAGTTTTAGCTTATTTTAGCAGTCCATAGATCATTCAGGCCCTTGTAAAAGTGAGGTCTGCTGGGGCGTACTAAATATATTCATAGGTTCTAGACATGAGACTAAGTTAGTTGGGCGTCTCATCAGGGGGGAATATGTCATAAACTGTCAAATAAACTAAGAGCTATCGTAAATAACGATTGCATTTGCAATTAATAATTATTGTTTTGCATAAGCGGTGCTTGAGCGGCTAACAGGTGAGCACAGAGTCTTCCCACCGATATGCAAATGCCACCGCAAGAGGTTCTTCCCCAGAAACTTGAACCATTTCGTACTACCTCGATCATGGTTCGCCGATCACTGATCACGGATTACGAATCATGGATCGTGAGATAAATAACTTTTATTTGAGCTCGCATAAATGCAATTTATTTGCACCCTCACATGTGGATATCTAGTTAGTTGTCCGGTGATTTGTTTACCCATTCAAATGGCTATAATAATAATGAAGCACGGAAACGGCAATGGCAACCGCGAACTGCTAACTGCCAACTGCAACCGGCAATCTATAAATACAATAATAACGATAATAATAATAATGATAAATAAGAAAAAAAAAAAAGAGCGACAAATCCATTGCACTCTGAGATAAATTTCCATAGAATTCATTCCATTTGTTAATGTCGATTGCGGGCCATACAGATTACAGATAGAGCAGTGATAGTAACTTAGTTGTTTGTTCACGTTAATCACAAGTTTAACACTCGGCTGATGGAATGCGGGGACTGTTTGGAAAAAAATATATAACAGACTTCCTCTAGAAGATAGTGCAAAACCCAAGACCTACCACAATTTGTATTGCCTTTGTAGTACCCCTTGGGCCACGTTTTCCGGCACGGGGTTAACTGGTTGTCACGTCCACAGACTAAGCATCGTTGCTAGGAACAACACTGTTTGAGATCATTTATTATGTCTATTGTCTCTGGCAGCGATTTGCATACCTATACATGGATTTACTAGCTTATCAATGCGAAATTACAATTGCATTGTGCATAGCACTCGGAGCCAAGTCAAGTAAGCTATCACGTCCTTAGCTCAATGTCAAATCGAACTGTCTCTATCTGTCTATCTATCTATCTATCTATCTACGGCAACTAACTCAATCTGCCGGAATCTGTTGTGCTGCTGCTCTGGCATTTCCACTCAGAAACGAAGCTGCTAGCTATTTATAAAGCTCTGTGGAACAGGAAATGGGGGAATCCTCCCTGCCTGGCCAAAAGGATTTGTATGCCATCTGTTCTATGGGCGTCAATCAAATCAGTTGCGCTGCAGCATCAATGAATCAATTTGAATGTCAACTGATTGATGGCAAAATAATAATCAAAGGAACTTTCACATACAAGAAGAGTAGTGCCTTAATATTTCATTTGTTAAGTATTTTGTGTATAATTTATTAATAATTAGTTTGTGGCCTACTTAAGTCTAATAACAAAGATGCATCTTTACGTTTCCATAAGTACTGGAAGTACAGAATAATTTAAGTACAATCTGATGAAACTAACTAGCTAACACAATTTAGTAGCGAGTAGTAGGTTTAGTAACGTATTTCTTTTTCTTTTTTCTTCTTTTGATAATCACAGCGCTTAGTTTAGTTACATAAAGTATGTCTTTCCAGCATGAATATAGAAAATATCACAGAGCTCAGTTGGGTTTGGAATGGTATTTGGAGTCCATAACCACATCCATGTGAGATGGCATTACCGTTTGATATCGTCTTTCGCCTGGCTATCTTTCGATTTCGATTTCTTTTTCTCATCAATGGTTTTGTAGGAGCTGCCGAATACCTCCGCATAACTGGGCACAATTGGCATCATCACAAAGTTTGACTTAAGCGCCTCGCAAGTGGGCGATGTTGCTGATGTTGCTAATGTTGCTGGTGTTGCTGCTGTTGTTGCTGCTGCTGTGGTAGCTGTTGCTGCTGCTGTGGTAGCTGGTAGCAGCGGCATTGTGGCCTCACAAAACGAAGGTGCTTGCGGTGCTACTAGATTCTCAACTGCACTTGGAGTTGCTGATGTTGCAACAACTGGATGCTGCAAGTCCTGGCTGCTCTTCTCCTGCTTGTTGAACACATTAAACACACTCGGATAGACAATCAGACAGGATGACTGTGGTGATTTCTGCAACAGCTCCAGGGCAGCCTCATAGCTGGGTAAGCCGGAAACTAGGGTATACTCCGGCACCGGATCCTCCATATCCGGATGCAGTTTCAACGCCTCAATATCCACAATGGTGCACTGCGTCGACCCATTTGCATTGTGGCGATCTGCAAAGAGGCAAAGAACAATAATTGTTTATTAGTACTCATTATTTGCATGTTCGCTGGGTCGAGATTACTAAAGACCTCGACCTAGTTGCAATATTACAATACACTGTTTTCTGCTCGCATTTGTTTTCTTTTTCCCTATTTGCTGCTGCCGCTTACTTTCATTGCCTTTAATAAATTCTTTTTTTTTCAACTTATAATTACCTTGGCACCGCTTTCGAATTAAATATGAGACAGACGAATTTCTCCGAAAGTTTTGTTATTTTTCGCTTTGGCAATGTGCTAATTTTCATTTGAAGGTTTCGTGACTGCTTAGGCGGCATCACGAATTACAGAGATTTCGAAGTTTGTTCTTGAACCTGACGACACTTAACGAAATACTTTGGGGTTTTTACGACCCGAAAAATGCCTAGACATAATAAAGTGAATCATTAGAGAAGTGGTAGAAGCCACTTAAGACGGAATAATACAGACGAAAAAGATTTCCACTCCTAATTGTGTATTTCCCTGATGACGGTTGAAGTCAGGTCGCCTTAAATTGTCTTTTTAATGGCCTGAAATTTTAACTTGTTTATACGTCTCGGAGTTATAAGTATTTCTTGGCAGTACTGGCTAATCAAAACAAGCACTCGATAAGATTTTAATCTCTCTAACTATATATATATATATATATTCCATTTCCTAATGCGGAATACTTACAATTGCGTTTCCAGGTACGAAACTGATGGTACAGGAAGCAGGAGCAGATGCAGAAGACCATTGAGATGAGGATCAGGGTGAAGACGACACCAATCCATACTTCGTTCATGAATTTGTCGTACTCCAGCTGTTGCTGTAACTGATCCACACTGCTGCTGTCCAAAACAACTCGATTGGCCAGATCGAAATCCATTATCTCTTCGCTGCTGGAATTCCTCGGATGGTTAACTTCGTTGAACTGATGTTGATGCTTCAGTTGAATGGAGCTGAGAATCTGTTGGCCAATCTGTTTCAGGAAATCACTGCTAGAAATGGCATCCAATGTGGTAATCGTTGGTGTGGAGGCTTCAGGTGAACTCCGTCCGCTGTTCAGAATCTTTTGGGCGGCTTCACCGGCGTAATGATCGAAATGCAAATCGTGCGAGAGTTCGTAGTTTAATGAGCGCGGCAGGCCCTCCATGGTTTACTTTTATATCGGTCGACGGGGCAGTTAAATCTTTATCTTAGTTTTTTTTTTTTTTTTTTGTATCTGTATCTGTGTCTCCGGTACGGCACACTTTCACTGTTTCTTACGATATCGGTATCGGTATCTCGGTGTATTTGTATCTCATGGATTGTTCCTAATCTGCGGTTTCTTTTAACGAACGTACACGTCCGACGACGTCTGAGTCCATAAACAAACTGATTTGAGCGGCCGATCCGTTGGCTCGCTCAACGGTCAAACCGAGCACAGCTCAGCGAGTTTAACTCTGTTTCACTCAAGAGAGGAGAGAGGAGAGAGTCCGGAGAGCAAATCCAAATCTACCTGGCCCAAAATCCATGATCACCCCCTATCTTGTTTTCTACTCATTTGCCGCTCGGTTACGCATCGCCGAGAACATTCTCTCGCCGTGAAACGATCTTGTATCTTGTAATTCCAATTCCCGGAGCGCGTCTTTTGTGCTCCCAAAGAAACAGACAATGCCCTGGAATTATGGGACCATAATTGGCGTTACAAAGCGGCGCACATGTTGCTCAAGCCAGAGAGAGGGAAAACGAAGAGAGAGGTAAAACGGTAATAGGGATCAGAGATGGGAGATGGGGAAGTGAGAGAGAGAGAGAGAGAAAAACCCTCGGAGCATCGCTGGCTTCTTCGATTTCGGTTCGTTTTGCAGCCGGGCAAATGACATATCTCCATTGCCTTGCAGTCGAAAAAATAACATAAAAATCCTTAAAACTTAATTTACAAAGTTTAATATTAAAAATGTAAATTAACATTTAATTATTTATGTTAATAGTAACAACAAATTATTGCTACACATGTTCAAATATTAAGTTATCAATTTTTGGTTTAACACTTTTTTAGGTGACCTTATTTATCACTTGTCTGGAAATCAGTTAACTGGTCTAGTGGACTTAAAAAAAATTGGCAAATTGAATTAAATTAGGTTTGAAGTGTTTATTAAATTGACAAGTATTGAAAAAAGCTTTAAGTGCAATTTATTTTGGAACACCTTAAAAGATATTTCAAAATGAATATGCAAAAATCTTAATCTGAATGCAAATAGTTAAAGAGGAATAATTATTTAATATTAATTAAATATTTTAAAAATAATAATTAAATAATAATAGAATAGATTTATCAAATTATAATATTTTTTATAATTTTTCCCATAACTTTTCCCTTATTCCCACTTGTTTTAGTTTTCTCCAGAAACGTATTCCCTCAATTTCATGGCACATTTTTCCTCTGGGTGTACAGTTCAGTTCTTTTCCCTCGGCATTGTTTGTCGGGAAAAGAGAAATTATTGCTGTAGGATAATGTGTTTGTGGGACTGTCGTTGTTGTTGTTGTTCTTATTTTGGTGCCCAAAGGGGCCCGAGACTCTTCTCTTGTTCTTCTTCAATATTGTTTTTTTCATTCTTTTTCAGTTTGGAGTTGGTGGAGTTTTAAATTACAGCTACGTGCAGATATCTTATTTCGGGCAGCAATTTTGTGGGCGACGCGATGATCACCTGGCTTTGGGTTGATCACTTTTTGGCGATAGCAGCAGGTAGGGTTAGGCCTTGGGAATGGAATCGGGAATGGGGATTGGCAACGAGGATCGAATAGATACAACAGTTGTCCATTTATGGGATTGATGTGTGTGTGAGTGTGTGTAATTAGAGGATTCGTGGCTGTGAAAGGGAATGGCAATGATGATAGGGACAGGGGATTATCCTTGCAATCAAACAGGGATAGAGCTGGGTATGACATAATCTTGCATAGAAATGGAGATGGAAACGGGATTACCTCTTAGATGTTGTCAAGGGGAATACTTAGAGAGGATGAGAAATATTAAAAATAACTTAACGTAGAAAGTTTTCTTTATAAAATGAATTTCCCACCGAATTAGTTTTAGTACCCCTTCATGGTAATATAATTTCCTTATTCTAAGCATTTTCCTCAGCCCCCAAAACAAGGCCAATAAATCAACTAAAATTCTATAGCCATCCCCTAATAATTAACTATAAAGAGCCCCCTCCATTTACCATTACGATGGCCCTCTGTCGATAAAAATCACATAAATACAAGCACTCAAAACAAGCTGGATAAGATCAGCGCGGCCGCTGAAAGACGAAGTACGAGTACAGAGGATGAAGGAGAAATTGCTTTTCAACAAGACAGCGTCTAAGATAAATCTCGTTGGGATTCACAAAGGGTTGCCTATATAGTCTCAGAGCCCAGTTGATTCCTGGGATGAGCTCATCGATGCGGCCAGAAATGAGCATTCCCTTATCATGATCGGCTAATCTTTGCCGAGGAAATGAATCAGCAGAGGCTGTTGAAGGAGATTAGCAAAATGCCGGAGGTTGTCAATGGACGATGACGTCTTTTCGGTTCAGTGCGGATATAGAGAGGGGCGGAATTAGGCGGGTATTCTTTTCTGGTTAGTGCGGCTAACCCATATGGGCGAAGATATTCCATTCCGAAATGCCCGCCCATCCTATGCACTAGTAACTATGCCAGGTATGCAGTTTACTTATTCTTTTGCAATCAACTGTCACGGACCGTGAGAAGACAGACAATGGCAATTTAATTAGGTAGGCTAAGAGTATCCGCCTTGGGTCTTCTTGGGCCTTAACCTCCTATTCTCAGGGTAGTTCGGTAGCTTCTGGTTTGGAATAAAATAAAAAAAAAAAACAGATAGTAGTTCCTGCTTATTGTGGTCTTGTCTTCGCGCCGCTTTCTTTTTCTTTCTTTGCACGTCGGCTTAGTTGACCGACTTGGGCCAAGTAGCTTTAATTTAAGACCCTAATGAGCCATTTGGGCATTCTGGGCTTTGTGTCTTCAATGCCGACTACTGTGTGTGTTGGTCGGACAAAAGTTAAATTAATGAGTCCACGGCCAGTCTTGCTGTCTTTAGTCTTTAGTTTTTTTCTTTTGGGGGCCTCTTTTTTGGATGCGGGTGATGCTCTCAGATGCTGTGATACTGATAAAGTTGCTTAATTTTTCACTGACTCTGAGATCGGGGTCTGTTTTCTGGGCTGCTTTGCATAATGCAGCCGATCGCCACATCAAGCTACAATTTTTACATAGTTTATTAATTTTTTGGATTTCGGCTTAGGTATTTTTATGACTCCTAACCCCCCCTGCTGCCACCGCCACCTCCCCCTGTCAACCGCTTCTGACACTAATAAATCGGCTTAAATTTGATCTTGAGCGGTGTATTTTGATTCCCCACCTAGCTGAGGGCACTTTGTATCTCAGGGGCTCTATGTAATATGCATTATTGATGATGGCGACTGACCTTAGCTAGAAGCTGCCTAACCCCAAAGAATCCGCCGATCGAGCCCCTAAGTTATGTTCAGCTTCATAATCGGCTTGCTGGTAGTGATTTAAATGGAATGGCTTTAATTATATAGGAAACACAGGGACCCAGGTGATTACTTTGATTCGAGTCATCGGGTGAACTGTGACGTTTGTTTACATATTTTTATGGGCATTTTGCCAAAGTACGTCAGCACTTTACTTACTATAATTACATATATTAATCCCATAATGCTTTTCCTTATCAACTTAGATTTTTGTGTCGCAAAAACGTAGACTTTAATTAATTAGAAAAATGTTTAATTGATTATGAACTTATTTACAAGCTGTGTTTAAAATAGATTTGTACTTTCAGGTCAGACAGAGAGAGAGATTTGAGAGATTTGAGAGTTAATAGACCTGTTGTCATGCCTGGGAATTCGCATCGAAAGATTTGTTGAGGAACTTCATGACTTTCTAAAAACTATTTGCTGATAAGACTTGCAAAAGTAAACAAAATATAAATTTAGTGGGTATATAATGAACTTGAAATTGCCTCTAAAAACGTATTTGGCCTTGAAAATTTAATGATAATGAACTGAATATTAATCACTGAACTTTAATCTCAATTTTGCTGAATTGAAATTCAAATAGAAACCTCTTTCCGGAAGCAGTTGATACGTTAATTAAAATCTCAGCAGGACTACTTTTTACCCCTTGTTATTACATCCTCTTCCTGCCATTTCTAATTGAGTTGTAAATTCAACCCTCGATTTTTGGCACACATCTTCAAATCGAACTGATTTCCATATAATTACAGGGCAGTTTCTCACATTTCGTCTAATTGAGCGATCAGGAGAAGTATCATTGGACGAATCAGTCTCGCAGTTGATACTCTCTGAGACCCAGAATCTCTCGAATCTCCCGTAGTTTTAAGAACCCAAAGTAGAGACACCCGCGGCCAGGGGCCATAAAGTCATGACATCCTGCCGGGCAACTAGAAGCACTTGTTCTGCCATTTCCACTCTGACTTCTTTTTCTCACCCTGCCTGGGGGCACATTTTCTGGATCTGGTATCTAGTATCTTGTGCCTTTATTTTTTTCCTTTTCTCGAAGCTCAGCAAGACGCAATGCAACCAACTGAGCTGTGACGGAACGAAAGTCATGGCAGGAGCGTATATAGTATGAGTTCCTGGCCAGGTAATTGCTGCAGTTGTCGGCGGGGCAGTGATGTGAAACATTTGTCATATGGACCGAAACCGAGACGTGCCGCTGCCCTGGGAAAGTCAGTTCGCAGTTCCCATAATCTGTGATATAGGTCATGCAACCCTCAAGGTTCCAAGTACTAGGTACACCATCATTCGGAACTCCTAACTCCTAACTCCAAACATCTAGACTCTGGCATTGTCTTTAGAGGTCCCTTTGTGTTTGTTATGGATTCGTAGAAATTACGCGTGAGCATGCCCAGCCATCCTTTTCATATTCTTATGTCGAGGCAAGTAGCTCGGGCCTATTATTTTACTGTATATCTGTGTATCTTTGTATCTGCATCCGAAGACAACAAGTGCAGCGATGAGTGCGCCTTTTATTCCAAGCACAATTAAAAACGCAGTTGGGCATAGAGTTAGCAGAATAGAACAGCTAGAAGTCTGGCTCAAGTTTAGCCAAGCCAAGCCGTGGCTTGGCGCCCCTCCCCTCTAGAAACATCATCTTGTAGGCACCCACCCATTCAATGTCAATGAACCGCAGTTGTAATGTTTATACGCCCATCACAGTTAAAGATACGGATACAGCTACATGAGCACTGAAAGAAATGGATTTGAAAAAAAGATTACTTAGTTTCCATTTCGTTAATTGCTGTTTACTTGCCAATTAGTTAGTAACTTGCATTTTTACTTAGAATATTTTTATATTTGCTTAACTTTTTCA